ATGTGTGTGTGTGGCTATGTGTTATGTGTGTGTGTGTGTGTGTGTGTGTGTGTGTGTGTGTGTGTGTGTGTGTGTGTGTGTGTGTGTGTGTGTGTGTATGTATATATATTATATATATATATATTATATATATGTGTGTGTGTGTGTGTGTGTGTGTGTATTGTGTATATATATATATAATATATATAAGGATGAATCACGGATCTAGGGGGCAAACCAGACAGCTTCATGCACTCATCAGCACGGATGTATTATTGAGTATCTCTCTCTCTCTCTCTCTCTCTCTCTCTCTCTCTCTCTCTCTCTCTCTCTCTCTCTCTCTCTCTCTCTCTTTCTCTGTCTTTCTTTCTTTCTATTTCTCTATCGCTCGTGCGCGCGCTCTCTCTCTCTTTCTCTTTCTCTCTCTCTCTCCTCTCTCTCTCTCACTTTCTCTCTTTTCTCTCTATCTTCTCTCTCTCTCTCTCTCTCTTCTCTCTTTCTGACTTTCTCTCTCTCTCTCTCTCTCTTTCTCTCTCTCTCTCTCCTCTCTCTCTCTCTCTCTCTCTCTCTCTTACTCGTCACATTTTCACTTTGGGTTTCTGTGTTCTATGTTACGTGTAATTATTTGCTACCTTTTGCCTAATATAATTTATCCGTGTACCTGCTATACTATCATTTAGTTGTTACCTGTTTTACCTTTTACCTATTATTTACCTTTTTATTTACTACCTCAAAAAAAAGTTCGTTCGAACCCCCCGAACCCCCCTGGCTACGGGCCTGTAAAAAAAACCTATATCAATAGTCTATTAATATTGATACACTCCTGATAAAATACATAAAACGATGGTAAATAAAAACGAAATGTACATGTATATAGGCCTACTTCCAAAGGCCTACTTCCAATAGGTCTTCGTGATTATCTTATCATCCGTCTGCGCACCCGTGTGTGTACATGTGTGTGCGCGTGCGCGCGCACTCGCATCCTGTCTTTAACGAAATTTAAAAAAACCAGAAAGAAAATACACATAAGCCAACTGATTTTATCATACGGCTTTATTATGATATTATTGTCAGGGCCCACATATATTATTCCGTTTATATTGCCAAAGGCAATAAATCTAATTGCTGCTGGGTTCAGTAATGAGTAACTTACCATTTCACAATATATAACCACACTGGAATAAATTCGTTCATAGATATAGAATATCTATTATATCTGTATTCGATATCTATGATTCGATGAAGTCTGACCGGCCGTAACCATAGTATTAGAGGATAGAAAAGAGAGAATAGAGAAATAGAAGAGAATCTATTCTAGTTCTATGGCCGAACTCATAGCTAGCGCAACCGCCTCACGGCTGACACATGAACATTTCATCGTGTCGTTTTATCGCACGTTAGGCGCAAGTAACACGCAAAAGTAAACGCCCAATGTCCAACTTTAATACTATACCCGTACGCAAATTATAAAAAACTAACACAGGAGAAAAGCCCAATTATCGTCGGTTTAAATACACAACAAACATGAGAAACATTGTAGATTACTATATTCATACGCTTTCCCGCGAGAATTGCGACAAGAGTCGGCGACACGTGTCAAATTCCGATTTAAAAATCACTCTTTGGCCTCAGCTCCCCGCTACACCCCTTTCGCTATACAAATTTACATCGGTTATATGACCAATGTGCTTCTGACATGACGTCAGTACTAGTGCGCTACAGCATACCCCACCCCATCGTTTTACACACCTATAATTTTTTCCTGACCCATCTACTTTCTTTACTACCTACCCATGCCTTCTCTTCTCCTCTTTTACCATTCGCGCCTATTCCATTTTCACATCCTGCTACTCTTCCTTTCGCTCTTCATTAATTTTGCTATATGCCTTACACATTATTTAATCAGTAGCGTATAATATATAGAGATATATTATACACTCCTGATATATATTTTGCGCGCAATCTTCCGATCTGCGCTGCGCAATTTACCGATCGGCAGACTGTGCGGCAATCTCGAGTTGTTGCTGCTGCTGTTGCTGCTGAAGTTGCCGCTGTTACTGCTGCGAGATAAATAGAGACCCTTAGTGCAATAACGGGCTAGGTGCATTTTTGTCATTTCGTAGGAGAGGCCTTTAAAGTTCTAAGTCTGTAATAAAATCAGGGTGCATCATATCTTGGTGATACCAGTGTCATTGAATACTGTCAATGGAGGTAGGGTTTCACATACATGGCTATGTTCCTCAGATTTTGGCAATTTGCCAAAAATTATGATTTTCGATGTAGACCACTCTTGCCAATGATATACTAAATGTATACCAATTTTTCAGTACAATAGTGGTCTACGTGCAAATAACCTCCAAATCGAACAATAAAATAATCAACAATATTTAATTAAATGCTAGCATAAAGATGCAGTGGTGCCTTACCTAAAGTAATACTATTATTGTATGCAGCAAGCGGTGGTAACGGGACGTGACGCTAAGCACGTCACACCTAGAGCATCTACATGTATAGGAGTGGT